CATCGACGTTTGAAGAAAACTTGGACAAGGCCACGTTTCCGACGCCGGTGCGCACACGCGTCAGTGGTATGCTCGTCTTACGCGGCTGTAGGCGCACTATGTGATGGAGAACGCCAAGCAAAAGGCGCTCGAGGTCGCGTGGCGCCTCGCGACCGAGAGCCGCCGACCGGACCTCGTCATTGGCTGCGACACGGTCGTCGTCCACGACGGCAAGATCCTCGAGAAGCCCAAGGTACGGATGCCACGTCCTGTCATGACTGATTTGAGCCGGCGCGTATTAGGACGAGGCCGAGGCCTTTCGCATGCTCTCGTCGCTCTCAAACTCGACGCACCAAGTGTTTTCGGGCGTGGCGCTGTGTCTGGGCGCTTCGACGCACGTCTTTAGCCACGTGACCCAAGTCCAGTTCCTTCCGCTCGACGAACAGGCCATTCGCGGTACTACGTATATCAAGGAACTAGTATTATATCATATCTTATCGATGGGTAGACTATATTGCGACCGGCGAGCCCATGGACAAGGCTGGCTCGTACGGCATCCAAAGCGGCGGGCGCGTGTTTGTCAAGGCCGTCGACGGCTGCATGAACAACGTCATCGGCTTCCCCGTCGACCGCTTCTGCGCCGAGCTGTCTGCCATTCTCGACCAAAAGCGGCGTAGAGTCTGTAGCCACAGCCCAAAGACAGTGTAGCTTCTGTAGCCACAGCTAACGTAGTGCAAGCGTCAACTGTGACCACGGGTCGATTTTAACGAACTGGGATGCAGTGATGGCTAAGCTGCCTTGGACAAGACTTGACGCAATTTCAAACCCACTGAGGACTCTACTATGCCTATACTTGATAGCTGCACTGAGCCCTGCGCTGAGGCGAAGCTGCTGGCGCAGGACGTCATGGGAGACACGCCTTGATGGACGTGGTTGTAGCGCGGGACGTGGGGCTTGGTACGAGGCTGCGCACGTTTGATTGGCTTGCTTTGATTGATTTATGACCAATCCGTGCTCTTGGCGGGAAGTTCACCTGTCGCGGATTGGTTAAAACTCGCGATCTTCCTGGCTTGAAAATGCAATTTTGTATTTTATTTAAATAGTGTGTGGATTTGAGCGGGATGCCATTCTCGATTTCGGCGGCTGCGCAGCATGAAGGGCGACGCGATGCGCATGGACGGCCGCGCCATCCGCGCCGGACTCCGCGACAACCTTTTCGGCAAGGAGTACCTCGGCGCCGCCTACGCTGGCAACCAGCGCGACGAGTGGGCCTCGTCGCCCGAGGTGCGGACTCCGAGCTACAGCCGCTTCCAGCGCCACGACCTCGTCAAGGTCTACAAGGGCGCGTCGCTCATGAAGGCGCGCGTGCTGCACGCGTCGGCGACGGACTACTTTGTCCACTACCAAGGCTACGCGAGCGACCACGACGAGTGGGTTCCGCACTACCGCGTGCTCGAGGACAAGGACGGCAGTGTTCTCGACGAGCCGAGTCGCCTTCGCCGCCGGCCCGAGGTCGACGTGCATGTCCAGCAGCTCCAGATCGAGAACAAGCGGCTCAAGGACGAACTCGCCAAGACGCAGGCGCTGCTCGCAACGGCCCATGACAAGTTGGCGGGCGAGTGGATGCAAGAGTGCTCGCAGTTGCAGCAAAAGTGTCTTGTCGTGAGCGACCACTGCAAGAAGGCCGTCGAGCGCGTCCACGGCGTCCTCGAGGAGAAGCAAAAGGTCATCGACAGCTGGAACTGCGTCGTGTGCCTCGAGAACCAAGTCAACTGCGCGCTCACGCCGTGCGGTCACACCTTTTGCCTCGGCTGCGCCGTCCAGCTCGACAAGTGCCCCATCTGCCGGCAGACGTCCGTGGCCCCGCTGCCCATATTTAGACCGTAATTATGATGTATTTTTGTGCAATCCGAGTCAGTCGTCGGCTCACGCCGCCGGGAGAAGTTCCTGGAGAACGGTCTCGTGTCTATCGCGCCAAAGACCTGCAAGGGATGGGATTGGAGTTGGCGAGGAGAGCGTCTCGATCGACTCGACTTGCACGTGTCGTGTGCGCCATATACAATTGAATGTAATCCATAATAGCTCAACTTTTCTACATCATGAGAAGCCCAGCGTCGCTCATGGCAGCGCCGCCACGCAGGATCTAATAGTGTAGCATGCCCACGGGTGCCAAGATTTTCCTGGAGCCTCTCACGATGTACAAATGGAGATCCCAACGACGAAGACGAGTGCATTTTGCATGGAGAGATAGAAATACGCAAGGGTGCATCCTCCTTGGAACTTATCGCACCGTGTGCTTGATCCCAAGGAGCTTCATGAGGCCCGTCTCGCCGCAGCCGCCGAGCGCGCAGCCCGTGTCAACGTTCTTGTCGCCTTGCGTGACAGGGCCCTGGGTCGTGTAGATGCCGCTCGCCTGCATGAGCGCGTCGCATTGCGAGCCGTTGACGCGCGTCCGGTGGTCAAACACGGGCGTCCCAATTAGCGCGAGGACGACCGTCGTATTGTCGGGCACGTGGCTCAGTGCGTGGGCAAAGCGAACGTCTTTGGCCGCAAAGAGGCCAAAGTCTCTGGTGTTGTACGGCGAATACGCGGCGCCGTGCGTCGACGACCAGAGCGCGCGCGTCGCCGCAAATGCGTTGGTGAGCGACGGGCCCGCCACCGTGTCGTCGTGGTCCATGACAAAGCCCAGTGCTTTCGAGCTGCACCGAATGTACTCCTGCTGCATCGTCATGTGCGTGTGCCACGCCAGGTCAATCTCGATCGTCGGCACGAGCATCTCGCCGGCCTTCTTGGTGCGCACGGCCTCGATGAACTGCCGGTACCGGACGAGGCTCGATGCAAGCACGTCGTCGTTGAGCCAGTACTCGACGTTGGGGCACACCTTTTGCACAAAGTCGAGCTGGCGGTACATGGCCTGGACGAGGTCGATCGAGAAGGCGCCGACCGCGTTGGCCTGCACGAGCACAAGCGCGCGGTGGATGAGCTGCCGGAAAAAGTACACGCCGTCCTTGCACGCCGTGTCGGCCACGGCCGCGATGCGCGCTTGGACCTCCGTGATGAACGTCGCCCACGTGCCGTCGGTCGGAATCCCCGGCGCCTGGATGCGCAGCGTCACGTGCGCCCGCTTCTTGTTGGTGAGCAGCTCGAACGTCGGGTGCTCTTGGATAAAGACGGCGATCTGGAACGTCTCGTACGCGAGCTCGTTCTTGCACTTGACGCAGGCAATGCGGTCGCCGAGGATGTGCAGTCGGAACTGCGCGTCCGCGGCAATCGGGTGTCGACATGTCTTGTGCGGGCACGCGCTCAGCGTCTGGCGCAGTGGCACGTTGAAGGCCGTCGTGCCGTGCGCAGTCTTGTAGTACGTCTCTGGCCCAAAGGGCTCGTGGCAGCACGCGCACCGAATGTCGCACTGCTGGAGGTACATGCTGTCTTTCGTGCAGCGCGGCAGCTCGGCGTGGCAGTAGGGGCACACACCCGCGATCGTCTTGAGCGACGATTTGGATGGCCGAGGCGCGTTGGTCCCGAGGGCGAACGCTAGCGGGTGCAGCTGGTACACCGTGTGGCAAAAGTTGTCGGGCGCCGTCTTAAGAGACGCGTGGTCGGCCACGTACGCGGCCTCGAGGTCCAAGAGCGTCTCGTAGAGCGCCGGCGCCGACGGAATCGCTTGGAGGACGTCGTACATGCGCTTCATGCCACGGACGTGCGCTTGGACGTCGGCGATGGACGGCAAGTGCGTTACCGGCGGCAACGCAGCCGCGTTGATCTTGGTCGCCGAGAGGAGTTGGCGCCACACGGGGCCGCTGGGCGGTGCGCGGTCGCCCACGAGCGGGCGCAGCGCTTCGAGCAAGTCCATTTGCGCGTTCGTCGAGTAGCAGTCGAGCAGGAGTCGGCGGCCGGTCGCAAAGCCAAGGTCCAGCAGCGTCGGTGCAATCGGCGTCGGTGCCACGACGTCGGCGCGTGTGCAGTCGCCGAGGTCGTACGCGTCGAGCATCGGCGGTACGGGCTGGTCCTTGGACGGCTGCGCCGTGAGCACGAGCAGCGTCCGGCCGCCGATCGTCGAGAGCGCGAGGGTGCGGGCGACGCGCACGGCGTCGAGCGGGTGGACGTGGACGTCGAGCGAGAGGAGCGAGGTCATCGTCGCGAATCGGAGAATGAAAGATCCGAGCCATATCTGGTGGCGGATCGCAAATCCAAAATTTCACAAACCGACTCAGATCCAATCTGAGTGACGACCCAGAAACATCTGGATAGCTGCAAGGGCTGCGTGCCGCTACAAGCGCGTATCCAAAATATCAGTATATTCGATTCCCATACACAGTGTAGTATGTACAACGGTCGCGTCGTGGGTGCATCCAGCTCCAAGTAGCCTACAGCTCGTCCTTGACGTCCGTCTCAACGTCCTCCTCATCCGACTCGGTGGCTGCAGGCTCGTCGTCGGTTGTACCGCTGTCGTCGTCCAAGAGCACGTGCTCGTCCTCGGCAGCGTCGTCGTCTTCGTCGTCTTTCATCTCTTCGTTGACGATCGCCGGCAGTTCCATCTCGGGCTCGAGTTCGAGCGTGTCGAGCTGCATGCTCGACTTCATGATGCGGTACACGCGCGACGAGAAGTGGTCGACGTCGTCCATGGCAAAGCCCGAGTTGGTCAGCGCCGCGTCGTAGAGAAGCCACGCGAGGTCCTTAGTCTCGGTCGCCTCGCCCGCCGTGTTAAAGAGGTCGCGGAGCTTAACGACAATCGGGTGGCGCGGGTTGAGCTCGAGGATCTTTTGCGCCATTGGGTTGGCCGCTGCGGGGTTGGCAAACGTCTGCGCCTTCATGATGCGCTCCATGTTGGCCGAGTGGCCCCACTGCGACGTGACCATGACCGCCGGCGTGTCGAGGCCGGCCTTGGAGATGGTGATTTTGGAGATTTTGGCGCCGTAGAGGTCCTTGAGGCCCGAGATGAGCGATTCGTACTGCTCCGTGTAGAGCTTGTGGCGGCGTGTGAGCGTCGCTTCGTCGTCGTCGCCAAACTTGAGTCCTTCCTTGGTGATCGACTGCATCTTCTTGCCGTCAAAGTCGGGGATGTGCTGCATGACGTACTCGTCGAGCGGGTCCACGAGGTACAGGACCTCGACGCCCTTGGCCTTGCACGCTTGCAGAAACGGACTTTTCTCGACGGCTTCGACCGACTCGCCCGCAATGTAGTAGATCATGTCCTGCCACGAGGCCATGCGGCTCACGTACGCGGGAAGGCTAATGTACTTGTCAGGGTGCAGCGACGACTTGAAGCGAAGAAGCTTCAGCAGCTTGGGCTTGTTGGCAGCGTCGTCCATGATGCCGATCTTGATGTTCTTGCCAAAGTTTTCCCAAAACTGGAGGTACGTGGCGCTGTCGGCCGCTGCCGGCGCGTCGTCCTTGGCCTCGTCCGACTTGGGCTCGTCGTCGTCGTCGTCAGACGTGTCGTTCTCGCTGAGCTTCCGGAGCATCTCGAGCACCTTGCGGATGAGCTTCTTGCGCATGACGCGAAGAATCTTGTTCTCCTGGAGCGTCTCGCGCGAGACGTTGATCGGGAGGTCGTCCGAGTCGACGACGCCGACGATAAAGTTAAGGTACTTGGGCAGAAACTCGTCAAACGAGTCCGAGATGAGCACCTTGCGCACGTAGAGCTTGACGTCGGCGCGTTTGTGCTCGAAGCGCTGGTAGAGGTCGTGCGGGGCCTTGGACGGGATGTACATGATGCTCTTGAACTCGATCTCGCCCTCCGCGACAAAGTGGATCCACGTCAGCGGGTCGTTGGCGTCCTTGCCGATGGCCTTGAAGAAGTTCTGGTACTCCTTGTCCTCGACGTCTTCCTTGTTGCGCGTCCAGATAGCCTTGACTTCGTTGACGCGGTCCCACTCCCACACCGTCTTCTTCTCCGTCTTCTTCTCCGGCGCGACCGCTGGCTCCTCCTCGGCCTCGAGCTCCTCCGACTCATCCTCGGTCTCGGCCGACGCGTCGTCTGTCTCCTCGACCTCTTCGTACTCGTCTTCGTCGTCGTCGTCAACTTCGACTGTCTCTTCGTGGCTCGTGTGCACGTAGATCGGAAAGTTGATGAACTCGCTGTAGTGCGACACCAGTTGCTTGAGCTTGGCCTGATCCTGGAACTCCATCGCGTCTTTTTTGAGGAAGAGCGTGATCTCAGTCCCGCGGCCGAGCGTGTTGCCGCGCGGGTCCTTGGTGACCGTGAAGCTCGCGTTCGCGTTCGACTCCCAAATGTACTGCTCGTCGTCATTGTTCTTGGAGACGACGCGGACCTTGTCCGAGACAAGGTAGACCGAGTAGAAGCCGACGCCAAACTGGCCGATCATCGTCGCGTCCGCGCCGTTCTGCATCATTTGCACAAAGTTGGCCGTCCCGCTCTTGGCCACGGTCCCAAGGTTCTTGATCAAGTCGTCCTTGGTCATGCCGATGCCCGTGTCGCGGATCGTAAGCGTCTTGGCATCCTTGTCGTACGAGATGCGGATCTCGAGCTCCTTCTTCTCGCCGAGGAGACCGTTGTCCGAGAGCGCGAGGAAGCGCAGCTTGTCGAGGGCGTCCGACGCGTTCGAGATGAGTTCGCGCAGGAAGATTTCCTTGCTCTTGTACAGCGAGTTGATGATGATGTCCATGAGGCGGCTGACCTCGGCCTGGAATTGGAACTTGTCGCCGTTGAGGAGCGCTCCGTCCAGCTGGTCGACGCCCAGGCTCGTCTCGACGAGGCCGTCTACCTTGGCCCCATGGGCCTCGGAAGCTTGCATGCTCATGGCGCATAGGACAGCGGCAAGCACCAGCAGACCCTTCCAGATCGACCGCGCTCCCATGTTCTTGTTGCAAATCGGAAAATGACCACCTACGTGCAAGGTCGATCTTCCGGATACGCACCTGTGTCCGGAAAACAAGGCTTCGAAAAACGAACGCGCCGCGGCATTCCTAAGCGACATACCAATCTCGAGTGTACAAGTATGCATTTCTATTGCCCAGCTGGTGATGCAAATCCGGATGTCAGTTATTTACTTGATATTTGTATGCCCAGGCTTGTGGCGGTATCCGGTAGGAAAGATACCGTGTCAAATTTCGAAGTGGAAATTTCTCGAAGCCTGGACGGGCGGGCCGCGCCGAGGCTCACTGCCGAGGGCAGCAGCGCGTAGCCTCGTGCTTGGGCCGCAGAGGCGCTACAGGAGGAAGGATTATTGGAGCCTATCAGTACTAGGGTCATAGTCATTGGTTGGCGCCGCCCGGCTGGCGACGTGCATTGGTGGTGCCAGGCGAGATCTGGAATCTGACACCTCAGTTTCAAACGAGACATGCGTTGCGCGCCGGTCGTGGCTGTCGCCATGAGCATGGCGGCGGTGGCCAACGCCTGGGTCAAGTCGCGCTGGGACCACGCCAAGGCCTTTCAGAAGATCGGTCACGCAGAGCTCACGTGCGCGTCATCGACCCAGCCCGCCGGCTGCTGCTGTACGTCGCCCACCCATCCTCGCAGGCGACTCATTCGGCATGTAGTGTGTTGGACGATTGTGCACGACATCGAGTCGCAGCTCAACCAGACCGAGAACGATCACCACATGGAGGTCGTCTTTCGCATCAGCGAAGAGAAGAAGCAGATCCCATACTCTCGCAGCGAGGTCTGCAACTGCATTGCCGCGACTGCTCATGGCCTCGCGTAGGGGCGCATCCTCGAAGTGCTCGACACGGTATGCGACGACGTGCAAGTCACGAGCCCCAGCACGCCCCATCGGCGCATCAAGTACGCCGTCGCCAACGCGGTAGAACCTTCTCTCGCCCATGCAGCCGATGACAACTTCGTTTAGTGCCATCACTTTGTCGACGAATTCGCCGACGAGCTCACGACAGCCTTTTACAACAACCTCTCGCCCCAGCAAGAGTCCGTCTGCGTGCAAAAGCTCCAAGGTACGACGACGTCTCGATGACGGCATGCGCGTCACCGATCCGGTAGTGTGCGCGCGGGCGCCCAAGGACGAGCTCTAGTCACTACAGCACGATCATATACCGTGTTTACGGCGCCTTTAACGAGACGAGCTTGATCGCGCCCAGTCGATCCTTGTTCTTTTCGAGCGCGCCCTTGTCGCCGACGTACGCGAGCACGGGCTTGGCCGGGTGCCACGCGATCTGCTGCGGCGAGTCGGTCATGCCGATCGAGAAGGCGAGCTCGCCCGTCGGCACGTGCAAAATGGGAATGCACGGGTCTTCGCTGCCCGACGCGAGGAACATGCCGTCGTGCGAGAACGACACCGTTCGGATGAGCGACTGCGACCCAATGAACGTGTGCTCGCAGTAAACTTCCTCGAGGTCCCAAATGCTCACGAGCGAGTCGGCGCCGCCGAGTGCCAGTCGCCTACGTGCATCGCTTAGTCGTCGTGCAGGGTCGGAAGCACGCGCAGCGTACCGGCCGGTGGGGTCGAGGTCCATCGCAAAGCAGCTGCCCGAGTGCGCAATGACCTTGGTCACGTTCTCTAGCGTCGGCGCGACGGCCTTGTCGTCTTGTGCAATCTTCATGACCTCAAACGTTCCGTACCCCGACGGATGGCCTACGCCAGGTCATCGAACCAGACCATGCAGGCGAGACGTACCAGCCGCGACGAAGAGGAAGCCCGACTTGGAGAACTGGAGCTCGTTCACATCGAAGAGGTTGACGATGCGCCGCACCATTTTGTTCTTGCGCGTGTCAATGAGGCTAGATCCATGGCATGAGTACGGGCGCGAAATGCGGACGAGCATACTAGATCGTCGTATCGTTGTGGCCCGCGGCAATGTACTTGCCATCCTTGCTGTACGCGAGGTTCATGATCTCGGACGAGAAGGGCAGGTTGGCCGTGGCCTTGGACGATTTCGTGTCCCAGATGCGCACGGTCTTGTCGCCGGACGTCGACGCCACACGCGTGTTGCTCGTCGGGTCCCACGTCAGCTGGTTCACCGAGTCGCCGTGGCCAACGCAGTCGGTCACGAGCATGTTCGTCTCGGGGTCCCAAATGCGCAGCGACCGGTCCGTGCTGCCAGACGCGAGGAGGCTCCCGGCCGCGTTCCAGCCCAGCGCGTACGTGTACTTGGAGTGCCCCGAGAGCTCGGAGAGAGGCGCGACCGTGCCATACGTCTCGGGCCGGAACGACTGGAAGTCGACGCGCGGCTTGGGCGCCAGCGGCGGTAGCTCGCTCATGCGTTCGTGGTCGGGCGGCGTATTTTATTGCATTTTTTAACTCCATCTGGTGAATTGTAAGCACAGCGCATATTTTTTAAATGAGGTGGCAGGGCCGCCGGTGATTGGCCCGCAAGCCATGACGACCGAATCGCGATCTTTAGGCGTCCGCCACGGCGATCACTCGTCGTCGCTCTAGCGAAAGTACTTGCCATACCCATGCGGAGCACTTGCGGTAGTACGCGAAGACCGTCATGCGGCAAACGACTCCCAACAATTGCAGCAATCCATCGCAGCAAGGGCTGAAGATGCCTGAACAGGGCGAACGCTTCTCACCGCACGCAGACACGGGGTCGAGGCCTCATGCATCTGTACATATTGTAATCATGCTGTCGAAACGCGAATGTCTCTCTCCTTGAAGCGGGCAGCCATCACGGCTGTAGGAGCTGGCTGAGCGAGCTGGCTGTGTTGTTGAAGCCGGTGCTCTACAACAGTACTGAGTGTTGTTCCTCGTGCATCCCCATAGCACCAGCATTGGACTTGGCAGGGTTCGTGGATCTAAATCCACATCAAATCGATCGATGCATCGCAGGTTGTCTACGATGCGCGACGAATTCGTATGCGACGGGTGGAATACCGTCATCCGCTTGTGGAAGGACGCAAGAGGCTCTTGCGCTTCTCGCGTCATGAAGCTAGACGTCGAAAGACGCTCTTGCTTCGCATGAACGATGTTGCCTGGTTGAAAGCGTCCTCCACACGCTACCGGTATGCTTCGAGATGCAGTGCCGTGTTGAAGTCGTACGTACACTGTACTGGGACACACAGCATTCGCAAGCTCGGCTCGGATCGATTGCGAAGGCCGGCCGCGTTCGAATCACGGCAACCTCAGGTTCCAGTCCAAGGTTCGATGCAGGGTGGTCCTCCAGCTGGGTGCTGCGTCAACACAACACTCAAACATCGATTGGCCAACACGGTGTTTCTTACTAATGATACAAATGCTTAGAGCGTCTTCTTGTCCGCGATAGCGGCGGTCTTCTTGGCCGGCGCCTTGAAGAAGTAGCGCTCGAGGAAGAACTTGAGGAAGAGCGCAAAGTAGCTCGAGTACATGAGGATGCCCCACTTGAGGTTTTCGCGGTCGAGCTCGCACGTGACGCCGGCCTTGATGTAGTAGACACCGGACGCGCAGACCGCGACGCCGACGACCATCTGGAGGAGCTGGATGATCGTGACAAACTTGGCCCACGACGCGCGGATGCCGATGGCGGCGAGGAAGTAGTAAAAGTACATGACGCCGTGCACCGTGTAGTTCATCGCGACGAAGAAGAGACCGCTGGGCGAGAGGTTGGCGTACGCGTGCCAGCAGAACATCAAGACCGTGATGTGGTGGTACCAGTGGAGAAAGATGAGCGGCTTCTTGCGGAGCACGATGAACATGGTGTCGACGAGCTCCGGGATCTTGGAGAAGATGAAGAGCGTGACCCAGAACGACACGGGGCCGTGGCCGTAGTGGGGCATGGCCTCGGCGCACACGGCGTGGTGCCAGCCGCGGACCGCGAGCGTGTTGAGGAGGAACGGCACGGTGCGGATCGCGCCCATGATCGAGAAGGTCGCCAGGCCGAGGTTCCAGAGCGCGAGCGCCGTCTGGAGGCCAAAGGCCGACCGCGACCGCATGACCTCGCGGCCGCCGAGGCAGAGCACGCAGTAGATGGCGCAGAGCACGACGACTGGGGCATCGTGTCCTTGCAGAAGCCGTGCTCCCACGTGAAGAACCACTGGTTCTCCCACTCGAACGGGTAGAGAACGCTGAGCGCCGGGTACTCTTCGTGGAGCGCGGGCGTGCGGGGGAAGCTCATCGTCAGGGCGAGGCAAAATGCAAACTGAGCCTTTGTCGCACTTCGGGTTGCATCAACAGCGTCACCCAAGATCGCTCTATGCCTCTTCGTGGCCAATCACAGCGCGGCGCATGCGCGTCGGCTGGATATGACATCACAAAGATCGGCGACAACCGCACTTAAGAGAGCTTATTGATCTCACGCCTGCTTGAAACGCATCGCCAGGTGGCGTTCGATCGTACTTAGACGAGATCGCTTACGAAAACCAGGAGAATTGCCATGTCGCACTTGACACGTGCACCGAACTCGGACGACGGCACCGCATCCGGATTCGGCATGACGTCATCCCACTCAAGCTCTCGCCCAATCAGAGGCGCGCGCCATCGACGTCATGGGCAACCAAGTTGCCACGCCATGGTTTTGGCTCGGAGATTGTAATCAAACGAAAGGCTGGTGGTGGGGAGGAGACGATGAGGCGGCAGAGACTGTCGGCTGCGAGTCGCAGCCTCGGCGGTTCCAGCGACGGTCCCTCCTCCGCTTCAATCCACCTCGACACGGCTTTTATTCCCTCTCCGCCACGCGCGTGGCTCAATCAATGCAAGCTTGAGATGAAGCTCCGAAGAAGAGGGTTGACGCGGACGACGTGGCGCCACGACTACTACGGTACCGGTAGACCCGCAGAACCGCCGAGGATCTAGAACGTGTTGAAAGAAAAGGCAAGTCGGTCGGATTCCTGTCGTACGTCAACAGTGGCCTGCAGCTGCGAAAGACTCTCGTCGCATAGGCCATGTTGATCGAATAGCTTTTGAATGCTGTATAGCAACGCTGCATATCAACGCCAAGTTGGCGGTGCTGCGTGCACACGACGTCCACCCACAACCGGCCCAAACGTCGGACATGCATCATATCCGGATGATGAGATATCAGACTAAAGAAACGCAACTTTACACGCTTAGATTTGCTTGACAGGCTTGGGCAGCACCACGAGGATCGCGTAGGCCGCAACAAGCCCGGCATGGCCCGCGAAAAAGACTTGGCTCCAGCGCGCAATGGATGCGCTCCACGAGAGGGACACGAACGCGACAGCGAGGTAGTTGATGACGACCACCGTACAGAGCCAGCTGAGCACGTCATAGACGGCCTTGGTCGCAGCGTGCGAGCAAAAGTACGGGCGGAGCTTGGCGCGCGCGAGGCGGTTGACGGCGGTCGGAAGCGGCACCGTGAGGAAGAAGAGGTAGTAGCCCGGGTAAAAGCCGTGCCAAAAGGCTGACACAAAGTACGTGATGAGGAGCGAGTTGCCGTGGCGGCTGTACACGTAGCGCTCGAGCCACGCCTGCGTGCCCTTGTTCCACGAGCGGCTGAGGTCACGGATGCTCTGGCCGAGCTCGAAGCCGAGGATGTCGACGTTCGAGACCGCATTCCAGCCCACGACGCGGCCGTTGGCGTCAATCCCTTCGCAGCCAAAGCCGCAGAGCACGGTCGCGCCCTCGGCGATCTTCCACGCGCAGTAGTACTTGCAGCGCGTGAGGAGGAGCGCCATGTAGATCGCGAACCCGCGATAGAGCAGCGGCGCCGACGCATCGCCAAACGCGCCGTCGAGCGTGAACGTGGCACCAAACTTGGCGATGCTCGCCATGCAGATGACGCCAATCGTGAGCTTGGCGGCCGCCGCAGCAAAGCACGACGTGAGCGCCGAGGCCTTGTGCGCGAGCTTGAACGTCGCGCCCGAGACCGCATCGGCGTAGCTGCGGTACTCGAAGGCGGGGCCGGCGAGGAAGGTGGCGAAGCAGAACGCAAAGCCGTAGAATTCCACGAGCGACGGCAGCGCCGCGATCGCATACGTCTTGCGGACGCGCGCGACCTTGTCCGGGAGGTCCAAAGCCGGAGCGGCCGCGCCATCGAGCACGTTGTACGCAAACGACGTGAGCTTGATCACGAGCAGCATCTGCGGCCCGGTAAAGTCGAGGCTCCACCCGAGGTAGTCGACGTAGATGCGGTAGAGGTGCGAGAGTGAGAGATACGTCATGTTGAAGAGGAAGACGAGCATCGGCGCGCGGGCCGCGGGCGCGTACTTGACGAGGAGGTACGTGATTGTCGACGCTAAGAACGAATGGATCCACTGCGACCCGAGCACGAACTGCGCCATGAGGACGCCCGAGAGGAAGGAAAACCAATGCTTGGCTCGCGGCGGCAGCGTCCGGAAGGCAAGCGCGAGTGGGTACGCTGCAAACAAGCTCAGCGTGTAGCGCAATTGGTCGGGCGCGAAGCCGAGGACCTTGGAGAGCGACGCGACGTGCGCGTGCAGCAGCTCAAACGAGAACGGACAGAGCGCCAGCGCATACGCGTCGAGCTGTGCGGCCACTGCCTCCATCGTAGCACTATGTGAAATGAAAACTGAGATTCTTGTATACGTATGTGCGGTAGCTGCTGGGGCCACTTGAGCTTCGGCGCGCCAACTGCTGGAACCTGGCGCTGCCACGGTGGCGCCAGCGCGTATCGACGCAATCCGTGCGCCGGTTATGACGCAGGCCCAAAAACACACGCAAAGTGCGCAAAAACGCACTTTATCGGATTTCTCGCAAGGCCATTGGCTCGTTCGATTGCGCTTGCATGTCATCGGCGGTGACGTGGATCCGGGAGGCTCGGCAGCGACCGGTGGCCGAAGCCAGCGCCAGCAGTAGCCACGGACTGTCTCGCGATCGTGCGAGCCTAACACCACATGGCGACAACCTTTTGTGCACTTTGGCGTTCCTCCGCGTTCGCCCGCCGTCGCCCCAGCAACACACGTGCAACGACACGAAATGACCGCACGTCGCCCTGCGCGCTCGTCAACTAGCACGCATGCATGTCAACCATGCTTTGAATCGGACTCCGTTGGTAGCACCTGCCGCGGGTCGATCGCTGTAGTTTGCCACCCCGCCAACGTTGGCGTGTCGGCTACCTTGCAGTCTCATTTCTACGCCATCGGGCGTGCTTTTCTAGCGCCTCCTCGCAGCACAGTGTCTAATGGCTCGTCGCTGCTGCGTGGGCTTGTTGCGCATCATGCAGCGAAAGTTCCGTGCTTCGTCGAGGAGTCCGCGGATCGAGCGTTCGTGGCCACTGCTCCGATACCGGGAACCTTGCGTCGACAGTCCGGATAATGTCCGGATAACGTGTTGATGCTAGCAACTGGCCAATCACAGACGGCGGATGATGGACGAAGGCAGGATGGCCGAGTGGCATTTGTCATTTTCCGCCACGCCAGCGACGATGGAGTTCGGGTCCGCCCTTCGCGTGCTCGACGGCTACATGGAGGCCATCGCGCCGACGCTCACGCAGCTCGATGGCGTCGCCCAGACGCTCACGCCGCTCAAGTTTGAAGCCGCCAACGCCTTCTTGAACGAGATCGCGGCCGGCGCCGGCATGGAGCTCGACCAGGTGCGCTACGCCGTGTGCCTCTTCGCCGTGTACCCGCTCGCGCTTCTCTTCCAGCTCCTCCCGACCGCGACGCTCAAGCACCTCTACTCGCTTGGCGTCGGCGTCTCGCTCGCGCAGTTCGTCTTTGGCTCGCAGTGGGTGCACTCGTTCTTGATGTCGTTCTTGACGTACCTCCTCGTGTGGCTCGCGCCGGCCAAGTTTGCGCCGTCGATCGTCTTCCTCTTCAACATGACGTACATGTCGCTCGCGCACCTCTACCGCATCTACGTCGACTACATGGGCTGGAGCCTCGATTTCACCGGCCCGCAGATGCTCCTCGTGATCAAGCTCACGGCGTTTGCGTACAACTACTACGACGGCGTCGTCGACGTCAAGCGCCTCAACACGCCCACGGACAACAAGGGCCTCGCGCGCGTCTACGCCAGCCGCAAGGCGCTCAGCGTCGCCAAGATGCCGTCGTTCCTCGAGTTCTTCGCGTACGTCTACTGCTTTACGACGTTCCTCGCGGGCCCGGCCTTTGAGCTCCGCGAGTACCTCGACGTTGTCAACGGCGCCAAGCGCCTCGGGCCCGGCCGCTTCCTCGCGACCATCTCCAAGTTTGTCGTCGGCGTCACCTTCATGGGCCTCATGGTCGCCTTTGGCGGTGCATACCCGATCACGATGCTCTACAGCGACGAGATTGCGGCGCTGCCGCTTCTCGAGCGCCTCTTGAAGCTGTACATCTGCCTCTTCTTCGTCAAGGCCAAGTACTACGGCGCGTGGAAGATCTCGGAGGGCGCGACCGTGCTCTGCGGCTTCGGTTTCGAAGGCTTTGCCGCCGACGGCGCGTCCAAGGGCTGGAACGGCGTGAGCAACATGGACGTCCTCGGCTTCGAGTTGGCGCCGTCGATCCGCGAGGGCTCGCGCGCGTGGAACAAGGGCACGCAGGCGTGGCTCGAGCGCTACGTGTACTCGCGCACGGGCAACTCACTCATGGCCACGTACTTTGTGTCGGCCTTCTGGCACGGCTTTTACCCGGGCTACTACATCTTCTTTATGAGCATCCCGCTGCCGACGGCCGTGAACCGCGTCGCGTTCAAGCGCATCCGGCCCTACTTCCTCGAGGCGGACGGCTCGTTCGGCGCCAAGAAGCGCGTGTACGACGTCATTGGCACGATCTGCACCATCTTCACGCTGCACTACCTCGTGATCCCGTTCCAGGCGCTCTCGTGGGAGCACTCGCTCGCCGCGCTCACGCACATGAAGTTCTCGGGTCACATCATCATGGCCGTGCTCTACGTCGTCTTTTCGCTCGTGCCCATGCGCAAGCTCAAGACCAAGGAGCAGTAAGAAGAAGAGCACTAGAGATAACAGCAGAAATGTGCTTGCTACGTTTGCGATTCCTTGGTATCGATTTCTATATGCGAGTACAATTCGGTTCTTATCGACACAACCGATCACAACCGAGGAATACAATACATTCCTCGGCTCACTGCTGTCGTCGACCTCCGTTCCGAATACTTACTGCGCCGTAGGTGACAGACACGAATGGCCATGCAAAAGCCGGCGTTCCAACAACCATACTACATCCTCCAAGCTTGGGCGTCAAGAACGCGACGCTTGAATAGACCCTGCCCATGTGTTGCTGCGTGGAGCAAAGGAAGTATTATTTTAAAGTTGTATTCTTCCGAGGTCAGCACAGGAGCCATTGACGTGAGCGAACGTTTCGTGCCAAGTGGACCCACCAACACATGTGTTTCAGTGTCACACGCGGTGGGGATGTCTGCGCCGCAAATCTATTTTGAAACGCTCGCGGCAGAGACGCGTACACAGTAGCCTAGAAGGGCATCGATTATTCCCCTGACAGCAGCTAAAACAAGGCGCTTCCGGGACAACCAAGTGAACATAGCCTCGGTCTGCAAGGATACCTCTGGAAAGTGGTGGATTCTATTACAACCCAATGCTACTACCACTGTGGAATTCGACCTCGACCCAGTCATGTCCACGAGAGGAGTCAAACGCATTAGTGTCCATCGCCTGCGAGCATCCCACGGCTTGACGTCTCAGCGATGTCCTTGTTACCCACGTGGCTTACGCGTGAAGGGCCGACACGGCGGCTCGAGATGCATCTTAACAAGCACCACGTCGACCACAAAAAGCATTTGCAGTCGCTACATGTGTCGCTACATGTGTAGTGCCAAAGTTGGACTCCAACGGGTGCGATCAACCACGATCGAGTAGAAACGTTGAGGCCAAGCGTCCATTCGGAAAGGGCGCGTTGGACACTCCGTCGCGTCGTGTCCAACGCCGAACTCGGTGCTGCCGGTGGTCATTTCCCAACAAACATGGACGCCGAGAGCACTGGAAGCGACCGGACGGAGCGAGCCCGGGCGAACGCACGCGCCTACTACCAGCGGCACCGCCACGTCATCTTGGCGAAATTGCGCGCGCGGTACGAAGAAGACCCGGACAAGGAGCGCAACCGACAGCACGAGCGGTACCACCGCCGAAAAGCCGAAAAGGCTGCCCAGCAACAAGCCTCGGCGACACCGCTGGCTGGTAACGTCAGCCCCCACAGCATCCACTTTATTCTTAATTAACCCAACAATAGCAACACGAAAACTATATATGTACAATGAACTTGTGACACTTCATTCTTCACGAAAAACGGCATTCGGACACGCAACCGAGAGCAAGACAGCGCGGCGGGACATCGATCGCCGCGCGTGACGACCTGGAATGACTCCCGTGATGCAACGCAGACCTTGGAACAACCTGTCAACAGCCGGCAAAAATTGGTGGGCGGTGTGATGGGATTACATTTAAAGCTGTGCAGAAAGTCGAGCAAGCGAAGCTGCAAGCGATCACGAACACTTGTAAACGACAGGATAGAAGACAGTAGCTTGTTCGCGCGAGCACATGCTTGGGTGTTGGAGCCTTTCGTAGCAAGCAATTCCCTCCCGCGGATGTCTAGGATTTTTGGTTTAAACAGCCAGATACCGATTGACCGATTGGAAATTGTCGAATGTTGACTTGGTGGGGTGTTCGAAGTGCCTCGGCTGGCTTCGTACACTACCGGTTTAGATTTGGTGCTTGTTTGGTTCGACCCGACGCCTTGTGATTAACAAACACAATTCTTGAATGGATTCCATTCTACTACAGTACAATCTTGTGGCTCTTACGGGCTAGGTAATGCGGAGATGCACCACTCTTGTACATCACACATTTTTCATTTTTCCGCATTATTTCTCCAGGTCCATGCCGTCCAAAGCGTCGGCAGGTCGCGCGGTCGACCACATTGCGTTTGAAATGGAAATTGCCGAGAGTTGGCCCTTTGGTAGAGGACGCTTAGGAGAGCACGGCACGCGAGGTCGCATCGACGTCCGAGGCGTACAGCGCTAGCGAGGTGCGATCCAAGATGCATTTGTGGTCAATGCCAGAAATAAGATCGTAGTGCCATCTCGGCGGCACCACGCCAGGACGCCGACGCCGCTTGTCGACAACATCGCGTTTGAAATGGAATCGCTCAAACTTGGCACAGATAGAAGGAAGACACGTTGAAGAGCAGAGTAGACCACGTTACGTTGCCGCTTGCCGTCCTACAACGCGCGCAGTGCTCGATAACATATACAAAGTGCTCTTGAAACGTTAAAAAGCAAAGGACGGCATTGACACACCGTAGTCTTCGCTTTCTACTAGTGCACTTGTACCCGAGACAATGACCCCATTCACTCTGACGAATGTGATATCTAGCAACGTTCTTGGAGTTCCGATGCGGAGAGCTGTCGCATCACGGGGGGTTATTGGGACGGGAGGCTTTAGCGCTTGCAATGCTCGGATGGCTTGCACTGTTCTTGCGCACGCCAGCGTGCATGGTCCTTATATACATGCGTACTATCATCTCTTTGACGCTACATGTTGTTGGGCTCGATAACGCCATTTTGAGCCCAAAGAGTTTCAAGAAAGTAGCTCGAGATCACATGGCTCGAAAATGCTTGCGAATTAAGGCAGCTCGCCAGGTGCAAGATGCCTTCGTCTTCCACGTCGATTGATGACTCTAGCGCGAGGGTGTAAAGCTGAAGAGCCCACGTTTGCTCCGATAAAAGCGACAGTGCATCGCAGCACCGAGCATAGAAAAGAGGAAATGCGCAACCCATCGCTAGTGCCAAGTAAGCTCGCAAAGTACCACGAGATGCGGCCGCAGAACCTCCTCGAGAGTCTGAATTTGGCATCGCTGATCGCCTAGCCCATACCCAGCCACCAGACCATCGTTGGCAGGGACGAAACGGCATGGTGCAGATGACCGACGTCCTGACAGAGTCGAGCCGTTGCGATGATGGCAAGAGGAAGTCGGTCCGTACATAGGACGATAAATTTTCTCCCTTGTAGTCAATCACCCACCTCGAGGAGCGATCCCTGCAAGTACAAGAGCCCTCGTCGCGACAATCTGGCAACATATTCGTGGCCCGTAATCAGCCGCGCGCGATGGTATTGGCCAATCCATCACCCCGCTGGCAGCATGTTTGTCCCATGTTTCCGTTCAATGTCCCACTAAATCCCATGCGACGTTTTACACGTCTCTATATTCGGCACGTTTTCCAGTCCAATTCGGCATCATGCCCATCAAAATGGGGTAAAATGTAGTAAATCCCAGATCGTGCGTTTGACAGGCAACGCAAGCGTCTGTCTTTCAAATCCCAGCACTTTGCCATTTGAGGACAATGGTCGACGCCAAGGCCGGTCTGCACCGCGCCCGGTCGCGCTTCGTGCGCCTCATCATCAACAAGGACGGCAACATGGACGCGCTCGAGGAGCGCCGCGAAGAGCTCGTCGTGCTCGAGCGCTCCAAGCAGGCGTGGACCAACTACCGCCGCTTCTGCCAGTTCCGCTTTGGGTACCTCGCCTTCCTCGTCCTCATCTCGATCGTCATCTTCTCGTTCGCGCTCCTCATGGAGCTCTTCTTCGCGGTGTTTCTCCCGGCCGCGCGCGAAGACGCCAACTACTACCTCCGGTCCTTCCTCATGCTGCTCGCGCTGCCCATGACGCTCGTCTTCCTCTCGTACATGTTCGAGGAGGCGCTGCGCCTCTTCTCAGACGCGCTCAGCGGCACGGAAGGCAGCCTCGCCAACTTTCGCCTCTCGCTCGCCGTGCTTATTCACGCCGCGCGACACAAGGCCGTCATGACGCGCGAGCACACGGACCTCTCGCACGTCGACCCGTACTTTGGCGACAACGCGGCGCTCGAGATCCAGCCGCGCGCGACGCCGGGCGACGTCGAGAACCACGTGCCCGGCAGAGACATTGACTACTCGACGTTTGTGGTCGTCGATCTCATTTGCCCGATCTTGTTCGAGGTCGTGACGCTGGTCGCGTTTCTGATTTCGCTGGTTGCGACCTTCTCGCTCTCCGAGGCGTTCACGACGTACCTCCGCGCCGGCTTTTACGTGGTCGTCTTCTACCTCTGCGCCTGGGTCGTCGGCCATTTCTGGACGACGCGCAGCAAGCGCATGCGGTACCTCGTGCTCACGTACCGCGTGCACCGCGAGCGCATGAAGGCCGAGGTCCGCGGCTGCACAAGGACAAGTGGGCCAACCACTTTTGGCTCCTCGACATTGGCTTCCGCGCGTTCTACTGCCTCGGCTGGACCAAGCCCGAAGACGTCTCAAGCACCGCCGCGCCACGCGAGCCCGGTCGCGTCGCGCGCGCGATCCACGCGGCCAACGACAGAAATCCGTACCGAAAGCTACACGCGAACCTCAAGATTGCGCTCATGCTCCCGTGCATCTTTCTCGGCGCGTTCGTGTCGTTCTACGTCTTCCAGCTCGGCTGGCCCATCATGGGCTGCAGCCTCCTCCTCCTCGCGTCGGCGCTCCGGACGCGGTTCCCGCAGATCTTTGGCACGTCCTTCTTCTACTTATCTTGGCGTTCGTGCTCTTGGCCTTCATGTTCATCTCGTCGGCGTCCGCGATCGGCACGTTTGTCAAAGGCGGCTCGTTCGACGTGCGCCCGCCCGTCGATCCGCTGCACCCGAACGTCTCGATCGCGCTCCCCGGGCAGTTCAACATCCCCGTGTACCCGATTTGCCACTTTTCGCACCAGACGCTCGACGTGATCGACTTCGTGTTGATTTCCGACGCGGCGTACGGCTCGACCAACGAAATGCAAGACGCGATGCTCGGGAAGCGCTTCAACGGCACGGCGCTCCACAACTGGAGCGTTCCGGATCGCAGCAACCTCGCGACCGACCACCAGCAGTGGCTTCAGATCGACTTTGCCGACTTGAACGTGACCGTCGTCGCGATCCGAGGTACGCCATCGCTCTGGATCTGGTCACACAGCGTGGATATCGTAGGCACCGCGTCAGCTGCCGATGCACTCCAAGACATGCACTACTGGTTCGGCATCACGATCATGCAAACGGCCAACGTCTTCATCCCGTTCCTGAGCCAACTGCCCCAGGACTTTGTTGTGAACCTCCTCTCGCTGCGCTTTCTCAACAAGATCATCCCGACACCGGTCTACCAAAAGCTTCTCGACAAGGTCGAGGCGCTCAAAAAACAAAGTCCAACATCGTTGTGACGGGCCACTCGCTCGGTGGCGCCATGGCCGCCGTCGTGGGCGCCAAAATGCACTTGCCTGCGGTACGACGTCGTCTTGATACATGGATACACGGATCGGATGCTAGGTCTCGTTTTCGGGCCCGGGTCTCTTGTATTCGCGCGGTCGGTTTGACATTGACGACGAGCGCTCGATTCGCGACTACGTGCTCACGGTCAAGCCCCGGGGCGACTTCGTGCCGCGAGTGGACCGCCTCGGCGGCCTCGTCCAAGACATCGACTGCCGCCGCAACAACCCGAAAGCATGCCACGGCACCGACACGCACGCGGTACGACTCGACTGTTTTGCGTCCACGCTAAGCGCTTGGTTCCTAGTGCGAGTTTTACCTCACGTGCGGCGACAAGCGCGGCCGCGACTGGTCCCGTGTCTGCGAAGAGTACCGGAACCTCGCTAAGAAGATTGATTCGATCACAACGCAGAGCAACAACTAGCTACGACGGACATGATCAAGCTGACACTTTTTGTATATTCTGTGCTTTTGAGCACACAGAACGCTGCTATACGTACAATAACGTATGACCACCACGCGCGGCGCTAGACCACGGACGTTCAACGTCCTTGCGGATACTGTTGAGAAGGACGATTGGGCGGAGGCTCGAGACGGGTCCTTCGGGCTTCTTCGGTTTCGGCACACCTGAGTGCGCCGGCTGAGTGTGCTGGCGGAGCAGGGACGTGGTTGTACATGCCGCTGTGCGGACTGGCGTCTTCGATTTCGTCGGCAATCTTGTTGACGCGTTCGTCGGCGAGGTCCTTGCTTTCGTATCTCATGCAGTAGCTAATTCCGTTTGCTCTTGAGTTCTCGGGCGGCGTCTGCGTCGCGTTGATGCTCGTGCTGGTATCGCAGGTGACGGTTCGCAGAGCGTCTATTGGCGTCCAACTGCGCCGACGTGGCGCTCGTCTTTGCCGAGGAACCCGCGCCAGCGCCAGCGCGCCACCGCACCGACATCATCAGCGTGGCATGCGAGTCGAGAAAGGCCGCCAGCGCTGGCGTCCATGAGACTGCATGCAGGAAGCTACTGAAGACGTCACGCTTGATCAAGCGCGTAGCAATCGCTTCGACAACATACAAAGAGCGAGTGCGTCTGGCGGGGTCGCGCCGGCCGCCTTCTAGGAGGGACCATCGTCGCTTGCAAATTTGGGATCTTATCTGCGGATTGGCGAAGATTCGTCGCCAAATAGCCAATCAAACACAAGCAGACGTCACGCGCACCAGCCAACGCTCGTGAGGTAAGAAAATACGTCAGCCACACCCAACCGCCACTCGAATCGGCAGGACAACATGTACCCAACCTCTTCTTGGCTGACGTAGACTCCAAACCTCCAATCAACAACACCCTGCAAGCCAGCCGTGGCACATTGCGTTCGCTGGGCCCTAGCCCTAACCCTAACCCTTGGCCAAAAAATCCAAGGTCCCCGCAGGCGTCGAGGAGGGATGACCTGGAGCCTAACGGTAGCATCCGAGCCAACACAGTTGGTTGGGCAGTGTGTCCCTGTGGTTTCGCCAAGAATTGACACGAGGACATGTATATCAAACCCTTTAAGCTGCAAGCAGTGTAGCGAGTACACCAGTCACGGCTGAACCATCCGCGTGCGATGAGCTTGCGCAAAAGCCGTGGCCCGAGCGCGCATGAGCACCTCGACCTCGACCTAAATGGGCTGGGGCGACCTCTGACGGTAATCTGCCGAGCGAACATGTGCGATGCCGTGGCAGATGCGCGACAAAAGAGACCCGCAGATCGTTCTCGCCTCTGATCGATCCGCGCGCATCGATGCACGTGGTCGTGTCGGCAACCTCTTCGCAAGTCTACGCGAGCAAAAGCGCAACGACGCCGTTCGCATCCAGCGGGTTGCCTTGCAAGCGCACAGTCGCCAGCCGCGGAAGATGTGCGAGGAGGCAGCTCAGCGCCATGGCGCCTGCGCGCTTGATGTTGTTGCGGCTGAGATCCAGTGTGCGTAGACGGGGTGTGTGCACCAGCGCAGTCGAGAGCGCCGATGCGCCAACATCACCAAAGCTTTGGTTGACAAGCGAGAGCGTCTCAAGCTGCGATGTATGTCGGAGGAATGGTGCGAGGGCAAGAACACCGGCGTCGCGCAGCTTGTTGGACGTGAGGCCGAGGTGCGAGTAGCGCGGTAGGAGGAGTGCGAGCGTGAGGCAGTGGGTTGTCGAGAGGTGGATGTTGGTCAAGCGCAATGTCGTGAGCCGATTCAGACGCGGGAGGTCGTCATCAAGAAAGCACTGCTCATCACGACCGTCCGGGCCTTGCATCTCGTTCGAAGCACGCACGTGCAGCGACACGAGTGCACTGTTCACGAGCCTCCCGACCACGTAGCTCATTTGGGAGGGTGGCAGAAGCTGGAGGTCGAGGTGCGTCAGGTGGCGCGACAAGGTCGATCCGCTGCCCTGTTGAAGCCGCGTGTCAAGAGAGGAGGCACGTGCTCGTTTTGCCCAGAGTTGTTGAGCCGATGAGACCTCGTCCACGTTCGTCATCGTGAGCGACGTGAGCGGCGTCGCTTGGATCCATGCCGCGAGCGTTGCAGCTGCCTCGTCTGGAAAGCGCACCTTGAACGCACCGCGCAGCGCAAGCTTGGTCACGCGACGCATCGAGACGAGGAGGTCCGCCAGCCCTGTGAGAATGGCGCTTTGCGTCGCGTATCGCTCGTCCGGAGGCGGGATCGGCCGCGCCGCGATACAGACGTCGATCGATTGGAGCGACGCCGCATTGGCGAGGAACACTTGCTGGACGGTCGCTAGCGCACGCGCGTCCATGGTCCATGTTGTAATCGTGAGCGAGATACGTTCCAGTGTCGGCCACGCGCGCGGCAGCGTAGCGACCACCGGCACAACGGGCAGTGCGATGGTCGATTCGATGCAAAGGCGTGGGTTGACGATCAGGAGCTGGGCGAGCACGTTGTCAGCATTCGCAAGCTGCGTAAGAGAAGCAACATCGAGCGTCGGCCAAAGGACCTCGAGCCCGAGCGCATGCGACAGCGTCGTGGCGAGTTGCAGTGCCGGCGTGCGCAGCTGCTTCGGGAGCGCCTCGAGGAACGCCGTCATGCAGTCGACAGGCACGTACGTCGCAATGGCCTCGAGAAGCTCGGGCGACAGCAGCATCGTGTCGGGCTCTGGGCGGTGCTGGCGCTTGGCCAGCGTAGCACTGGTCATCTCGGTCGTCGTACTGGTGCACTCTCCTTCTGGCCACAGAGATCCCACTGCGCCTGGACATGCATCCGGAAACTTGCAGATTATCCGGTTACGCACCATACGTGGCAGCACGACCGATGAACAATATACCGCGGTGCGATGGAAGAGCTTGGGCCACGCATTGTAATATGTTGCGCTATCGGTCCACATCGTGTTCAAGGCACGGAAGACACGTGGGGAACAAGGAACGTTTTTCCTCACTTTGATTCTCTTGGCCCATGGCCAGGCGATACTTCGGAGCGCACGGCATGCGAGGCCGCTTCGACGTCCGAGGTGTACAGCGCTAGCGAGGTGCGATCCAAGATATGTGTATTTGAGGTCACCGCCAGAAATAAGATCGTAGTGCTATCTTGGTGGCACCGGCCACGATGCGGACACCATTTGTCGACAACATCGCGTTTGAAATGGAATCGCCCATAGTTTGCACAGTGACAGAAGTCACGTTGAGGAGCAGAGCAAGCCACGCTACGTTGCTGTTGCAGTCGATCGCCGCGCGCAATGCTCGACAACATTCACAAAGCGCTCTTAAAACGCTAAAAAGCAAAGGACTGCATTGGCGCGCCGTAGTCTTCGTCTTGTACACTTGTAGCAACCCTTTCACTGGATCGTTAATGCGATTCCTAGCAACAAGAATACAAATACTATGTTCAAAGCCATCGCATCCTGTGGAGCGATTGGGACGAGAGGTTTATAGCTACACCAATCGTCAATCCGCACTCTGTGGTGGCTTCCGCGGTGCAACGCAAACAACGCAGCGAGGGGAGAGTCATCTCCCAGGAAGCAGGCGGTTGTATTGCGTTACGCCACGAAGGCAGATCGAGAGGTATTGAGAAGTGGGACAAAGGACGCCTGCGCCGCTGATAGAAAGATAGGCTGTGCCGGATGAGACCGTCGCCACGATGCTCCAACTGGGGTCACTACCGTATAGGGTCGCTACCGGACATCATCTGTACATGGCACTTCGTCCTATCCTCTCTACATCGCACACAGACTACACAGACTTTGGGCTACTCGCTTCCTGCAGTCATAACTCTTCAGCGATACACGCTTGCATGCGCCTGGCATGGCTTGACCAAACCAGACACAACAACTCGCAGTGATTTGATGCCGTCAAACACCACTTGTGTAAAACGAGTGCCAAGCTATTTTGCGTCCTCCTATGCCAGGGACGAAATGTTCACAATAACGTTAAGTAATTCTTTCAACGAAAGCTCGTCCGTGCACAGCGACCGGTATTCTAGGCACGCTCGGCCTTCGTGCGAGTGATAACGATTGGCCACCGCTACTGTACAAACAAGTTTCATGCGCGACGATTCATCAAGGGATTCGATCCCTCCAAGCTCTGGTGCATCGACTCGACGACGGTGGCGACGTCGCCGCCATCCAGCTGTCAGGGCTGGCAGCGGCCTGCAAGCAGCAGAAAGTCATACGTGAGGCATGGGTCCAGTGCATTGAATCGGGCAGCTCGCTGTGGCTGGCGCGTAATTTTGGGTTTGCGGGTAAAAAATGGCTGCTAAAGATGGATCACGTGCTTTGCCAGCTCGTGCGGTTTTGCGTACCACTTCGTCGTACCGCCCATTGTGTGGAATCTTTTGACTTGTACTTCCCTGTCCAGCTAGCATCCACAACGACCGTCCCTGTGATATGAAATGCAGAGTCATCTCGCCGTCGTGACACTCCACGACTTCGACCTGTGAGTCGTACTGACTTGTCGCATTGCATGACGATAACGCGTTTCAGCGTTGCGATAGCTGTTACGAATCCAATGGATGGCACCCAACTGCTGGCAGATCTAAAGTTGGCACTTTCTCCTAGCCTCAAAAAGAAATCTGAGGCGTTGTGCGCACGCTCGAGATGGTGACGATAGCAGAGGACGTGGCGAGCACCGACGACGCAATGGCGTTTTCGGGCGGGACCTGCGGGCAGCACCAACGCCACACGGTCCAGCTCGACAGCGTGCTTTCAGAGTCCGAGAAATCGGAGGCGAAGGACGCTGATGGCGCCACGCTGAAAAATGCAACTTTGGTCAAGGGCCCAACGAACGACGACCGCCTCAACCCCGTCGCGATTGCCGTCTTTGCGCTCTGGGTGCTCGTCACCGTCAACTCACTTGTGGACCCACTCAAGACGATTTACGGCTACTTCGTCTACCTCGACAGCAACAACCAAAACGCCGTCTGGCAGCTCACGGTCGCCAACCACTTCAACAATGTCACGTCTCGCGTCTGTCCATTGAGCGGGCCGTTTCTCGACTGCTACTTTGAGCTGCCTGTATACGGCACCGGGTCCCTCGCCGGTGCGACCTGTCGGTCCTACTACCCCACCGACAAGGGCCCGACCCAGCACATTGGCAATTTTTTCGGCAACTGCACATTTCCCAACGGCCAGCGCGTTGACATGCCGGATGGCCGCACCACGGTGACGACGCAGTGGACGGTCCAAACAAGCTCTCTCGACCGAAAGTGTCTCACTCTACTCGGCGAAGGCGACAGCTTTCCGTGCGACGAGTACATCACGACCAACGGCCGCATCATCAACTACCGCGTGAGCCAGACGGAAACTAAAAAGTGGTGCAAGGAATTTGGCGGCTATTACATTCTCAACTTGACGTCGGGTATCCAAGAGGTGCTTGTCGCCAACGTCTCGGGGACGTCGGCTGCGTTTACAAGCATCCCGATGACGTACATGCAGCCCGTGTTTAGCCTCGAGCCGCTTCTTGGGTGCCCCGCCGAGGTGCGCATGGGCGGCATCGCCACCCACATCTCGACGTCAGGATGGTACGGCGACACGACGGCCCCATGGTCGGCGCGGACGACGAGCGCGGCGCACGCCAACGATGTGTCGCAACGCGCTTCGTCCGTCTTTGTCACGACAACACATTACGCGGAGGGTGACTTGACGCAGGTGCGCACGTCGTACAAGGACTCGTACCGGCTCGGGATCATCGCCATCATCACGTATTACCGCGCTTCGTCCGTCTACTACCCCATTCTGCTCGTGTACCTACGGCAGCGCCAGCCGTTCTTTCGGTGGCTGCGGCGCCGCAACTTTGGCTTGGTCTTGCACAAGCGCGAGCGGCACAACCTCTTCATTCTGCTCTTGCTGACGCTCGAGGCGCTGGCGAGCACGGAAGACGTGGTGATGTACTGCCAGCAGGTCGTCTACGGGGGCTCGTCGCTCGCGCAGCTCGCGCTCAAGTACATGTCGATCACGCGCATCATTTGGCCTTGTGCATTTTTACTCTTACTTGCGTCGCGGCTCGTCGAGGCGCTTCTCGGGCCCAAGCGGGCGTTTGCCATGTCGGAAGACCTTTTCCTCCTCGGCGCGCCGGTGGCCTGGATCTACATTCCGGTCTACGTGACCACCCAAGGCATGAGTCTCTTCCAAGGCTACCGCCAAACGGGCGCTATCATAAGCCACTATGCCAACTCGATCTTCAACGTGTATACAAACCAGATCAACAACCTCACGCTCTACTTTCAGCTCTTTGGGTACTTTACCATTATATCATCGGCGGCAACGTTTCTCGTCGACGTCGTCTGGCATGCGGTGACGCACAGCAGCAGCAGTCTCCTCGTCTCGATCATGTCGCTTCGCACGGCCAAAGAACCGGTGGACCCCAACGCGGTCACGTCCAACTTGCACCAAATCCTCATCGAGTCGACGCACCGCATGGCACCCGAGATCGCGCTGCAGATGACGCGCGCCAAGGTGCCACCGCTCATGCTCTGCGAGTCGCTCAATTTGGCGTCCGAGGGGTTTGTGTGCCTCGCGTACGGTGGCATCCATGTCGTCGCCGTCTCCGAGTGGGGATTCGCGCACCCACTCGAGAACGCGCTCGGGCACGTCGCTGTTATTCACGACGGCCATCGCGTCGCGTTCGACCCGAACGTTACGATCGACTCGTTGGTCAAGCTTTCGTCGCGCCCCGCGTGGCTCGGTATTCCCGACCTCTACTAACTTTTTCCTACTGTTTCTCGATTGCATGAATTATTTCTGGACGAAAAACTTCATTTCCGTCTTTTTGTCTAGTAGCCGCACCCGCTATGCAACATCTCGTGGACATACCCGGTCGCATTTTCTCGGGTGCACATCGAAACTTTGGTAGAGGGTGCCTTGGAGAGTACGGAATGCGAGGTCACATCGATGAGCGGGGCGTACAGTGGCAGCAAGACACGATCCAAGATGCACTCCAAACTAAGATCGTAGAGCCATTTGAGAGGCACAACGTGCACCAAACTAAGATCCTAGTGCCATCTTAGAGGCACCACTGCAAGACACTGGCGCCGCTTGTCGACACCATCATGTTTCAAATGGAATTGCCCATAGTTGGCACGGTGATACAAGACACTTTGAGGAGCGGAGCAAGCCACGCTGCGCTGCCGCTGGCGTCCTAGAACGCACGCAGTGCTTAACTTACTGTTAATATACCAAGCGCTCTTAAAGCGTGAAGAAGCAAATAATCACGTTGGCACGTCGTAGTCTTCGTCTTCTACACTTGTAGTAGCAACGATATCCCCTTCCACGCGATCCGAAATGCGATATATAGCAACATTCGTGGAGTTACTACGTCTAAAGCAAATGCTTTCAAAGCCATCATATCCTGTGGAGGGATTGGGACGAGAGGCATGGCACTCACAATTGTCGGACGTGAGTTCCTCTTCCACACTCACAACGATTTGATGTCGTCTATTGTCACTTGTGTAAAACGTGTGTCATGTATAATGCGTCCTCGTATGACAGAAATGATATATTCACAATATCGATTTCTATGACGTGGCACTCGGACAAGGTCCCATTTCCGAGCAAACGTTCATTTGTGTAAAAACAAGTGTAAAAACAAGTACGACAAAGGCGAAACGCAGTGCTTTTAGCGACAATCAGAAAACCCTAGAGCGGTGCTCAATCTGCTATTTGCGCTACAGTGCCTCGTTCGCATGGCACCGCGTCGCACAGCGGTCGCAAGCGGGCATCCTAACCACTGCGGACGTTGAAACTTGTGTGTCCGAGGTTCTTTTCGCATCGCTTCAATGCAGGACATTGGTTCACCAGGCAAGCGCTTTTAAAGATCTCTGCGTCCTCATGCAGCATGCAGGTTGCGGGTGCTTCTCGTTGAGGACCGATGCCTCATCAAGCACGATTCGTGGTACCAGCACCATCTCGACCAGCGTCGCAGCCATTGAGCGTCGGCGCTTGTACTTTGACACAGGCTACTTGGCGTATACAGGCGCGAAAGAGGCTCGCGGAGGTGTCAATCCAGTGTCGGGTCGTGGCGGCTGGCGTTCATGCAGCGCTGGTCGAAGCCCTCAGCGCCGTAGCGGTAGAAAGGTCATTGCTTTGAGGTTGGGTATCGTAGCGCTGAGACAAACGCCGACAGCGACAACCTCGAGCTGTGCGACCCCTGTCCCGCTGAAGCGTATCCGGACAAGTTCCGGATACCAAAACCAAGAGCAATTCCAAAATGATCGACACGGCGACGAGCCACGATACAAGTAACGTAGGCGCCGGCACTATTATAATAGAAGAAGCTGTACAAGCGCGCGTCATCTTGCGGCATCAAGTGTAACAGATACAACCTCAAGCACCTCACGCATTACGTCCTGCTGCTTGGACACCACAATCAGCACCGAGACCACGAGCGCGGCCGTGCGCGAGGCCGCCAGCGGCACGTCCAAGGGCTTCTATCCTCTCAACGCACGATGGCAAGTTAATTTCAACCTCCGTCTTGCGTGCAGTCGACGATCTGGCATGGCGTACCAAGCAGACCGAACCGTAAGACGGCGGACGCAATGCAGTCGATGAAGTTTGGACACTCGATCGACGCGCCGTCGCTCGTCATATCCGCGCTTCAGCGCGTCTTCACGACCCGCATCTCAGAGACGAAGATGACTGTCAGCAGCATGTGCGCGATGGTCAACGACGCCAAGGACCTCGCGCCGTATCTCCTCGACACGATTGCGCCGCGCTTCCAAATGCAGCTGCTCGAACTGATTCTCGAGGTCCGCACGGTCGCATCCAAGGTGCTTGGAATGTTTGTCAAGGGCCTTGGCGAGAGCTACTCTCTGCACCTCGTGTTATCGCTGCTGCAAACCATCGAGTTGGAGTCATCATCGGTCGAGGGGTCGGGTTCGGCCCAGGGGCTCTACGATGTACTCGTCAACCTTGGCCCGAGCGTGCTCGACCACGGTCTACGCGACGAAATCTTTCCGATTGCGCGCCACCCAAGGCCGCAGCTATGGTGTCGGCGTTCGCTGCACGTGGTGCCTTGGTGGCGTCGTTGTCGTCTTGGCTCTGCTGGAGGGCAGGCTTACAAGGGAGGCTTGCGTCGGCCCGTCAAGCAGTGGACCGGACTCAGCGCGCCGCCGAGCGCGATGCCTTCGTATGTGTACTTGTCGATGCTGGCCACTGACAGCGGCGTGGTCATGTCGATGGCCGGCGGCGTCGCCTGGTCTTCTTGAGCGCCTTGACCCGGATGTCGACGTTCCGCCTGTACTTCTCGCGCAAGGCAGCGCGCTCTGCCTCTTGGTGCACCGGGTCGTCGCGCCGGACCTTCTCGATGTTCCCGCGCGTCCACACCACTTCTTGTGCTTGCGGATCCGGCTCGTTTGGAACTCGATCTGGCATGGATGTTTTATTGGCTGAATGCTTGATTATTTCTAACCAATCACAAGACCGCGTATTAAATAGTGTGAGCACAGTCCAACACAACGACGAGTAGCAGCCCACAGACGTACCAGCGCCACGTAGCAGCCGTGCATACATCTCCACACACTTCTTGAACGACGTACAAGTCGTTTCCGACGCTGCACGTAGCGCATGCATGCGAATTCCAGCGTCGATTTTTCGAGGTGGGCAAATAAACGCCCAGATGCACAATGTGTTTTCGCGCAGTTCGAAAACTCGACCGACTCCAACGCGGGCAGCCACAGTTGGCTATGTATATGGACTGGCCCAGTGACTTGCGTTTGGGATGTGGTAGGCGCTTGGGCTCTCGCAGCAAAGTCGTACTGCCGAGCGTCGGTTTTCACGAAATTCGACATGCAATTTCGGTTGAAAATGCGTCGAAGGGTCGGAAACCGAGGACGCCATCTCATGTTATCTATGTTAAAGAGCGTGTTGCATGTGGCTGATGGAGGCAATGTGTGCGCGGTACCGCTGCGCCATGAGGCCTCGTATCATGAAACAGTATTTCGGTATAGCGTAAAAACACACTATATCAAACTAGTGTTTGCCGCTGTCATTTGCTCTCGCTACACCACGCTGCGTCAGTCACCTGTAGCTGGCTCTGAAAAAACGAAATAAGATTAATTTTCATCTTATTTATTCTCTTGGCCCATCGCCAGGTCGCGAGGTCGACAACATTGTGTTTGAAAATGTAATCGCCAAAACTTGGCACATTGGTAAAGGTCGCTGTCGAGAGCATGGAATGCTAGGTCGCGTCGACGTCCGAGGCGTAGAGCGGTAGCGAGACGCGATCCAAGATGTACTCCAAATTAAGATCGTAGTGCCATCGTAGAGGCACCACTCCATCGAACCAGGGCTTCCACGCATGCAATCGGCACCAATTTTGCACGCATCACGACGAAGCATATTTTTTAAAAGTTGACATCAGTATATATTACAAAAGACAGCTTGTACAAGCGATATATAAACTCGACAACCACGAGAGCTTCACGGCGTCAATCAAGCTCATCTTTTGGTAGATACCAAATTCAACGATGCCGATCATGAAAAATGTGACGTGGTAGAGTTGTGGGAGTAGTGTGAGGATTGCAGTATCAATGTTTTATCGTGTCTGTCCAATATTGAGATATCGAGTCCACTGTCTGTTATAAGGCACAGTCGTTGGTCTGTCGGGTATGCGTCACATTCCTACGTATGTCACTGATGAGTCACAGTCCGTGGTGTGTCATAATGCGTTGTCATCGCACCAGTGCCTAAATCCTCACCTTTGGCAAGCAGCAACTTGGAGCGAAGGCTTCTGTCACGCGTACATGAGAACGATCGCCAGCATGAGCAGCTCGGAGTA